CCCCAAAACCCCAAAACCCCAAAACCCCAAAACCCCTTGTTTGGTGACTCTTATTGAAATTGATTTATCGAGAACTTAGACGTCCAAACTAACGGACATGAATGAAGGATTAAACTCTGTGGATGAGTGATTGAGAACGAATGGGAAATCCTTCACCTTTTTGACAGGAATAGTTTTCAATTCAAGCTTTTGCAAAAAGTATTCAATCATTGGATCAAAGATTGGGGTTAGTAATCTTAGACCTAATTTTTGACGTACGAATTGGACGTTCGAAGTGGAGATATCTAACGACTCTTTATCAATAGTTGGGTTCAGGTAGAACATATGATCTTTGTCTCCATTTGTAAAGTTGAATGAAAGATCTCCTGATATTTTGACATCGAAAGAAGTTTGCAAATTGGCTAGAGTGCAAACTCCATTTGCAACAACATGGAGTCCTTTTTCAGTGTTAGTGATGCTAATAGAATCTTTGTTTCTAGGAACCATTATATGAATTTGGTAACCGTCAGAATCAAGATCGTATTCAAAATCATATTGGTTTAATGATTCAGCAAAAGTATAGAAGACATAGTTGCTGACAGTCAACAATACATCATTCTTTGAGTTCGTCATGTTCAGCTTCAAATCAGTAACGTTATGCTTAGTATTGATCGAAGAGCCTGGAATAAAGATAGTGCCATTTAAAGGTAATGAAAGAGAATCTGCTGTGACTTTAATAGGACTGACTGTAGCAATATTCATACTGAGCCAAGGAGCAAGAGGAGCTTCAATTTCTATTGCTTTCTTGATTTCTACATTAAGAAGATCAGGAACTTTATTCTGTAATTCATGAGTAACCTTGTTCCTAATAAGTTTAACTCCTTTTCCTCTAAAAATTTTTAAAATCAGATTTCCTATCTCGTTAATAACGTTATGTCCAAAGCTTCCCTTCCATTTATGTTTGTCCATTTCTATATTCACAGCTTTTGCATAGACTGCAGGAATCTTGTATCCTTCTTTGTCTTGTGTTTTAAAGCCAAGAGTGATTGCAATCTCATCAAATTCTCCTTTGATTTCTGCATGGCCTTTAATTTTAACAAAAGCCTTTTTGAACCTCCATTTTCCTGTCATCTTCGCACTCAAGTTTCTAATTATGAGCCTTAGACCATCATTTTGAGCATCAAACAAAATCTGAAGATTGTCAGATGAAGGGGTTGAAGTTTCTAGTCTGATCGAATGAAATTTAAGCTTGCCTTCATGCATATCATCAATTTGCAGATTATTGACTTCACTCATTAAGTGTCCCCAAAAGTAGCTATCCTTGATCTTATTCAAGAAGTCCAACCCAATAGTTCCAACAACCCCTGGATACTCTTGGCTTTGGGCTTGACATAAACAAAATCCAATAAGGAGAATTGTTAATAACAAAGTTTTCATTTAATCGTTAATTTTATAAAAAGATTCAGTTCCTATAAAAGCAGAAGGGGTTTTGGGGTTTTGGGGTTTTGGGG